CCAATACCATTCCCTTATCCAGAGGTGACCATTCTCCTTCCAAACCTGTTTCTCTGCTTTTACATATATATTTATATAGCATTTAGAAATTCAGCTCATTGTGTGAGTTTTGCCTAAATGCCCTTGCCCTGTAAACATTCGGGAAATTGCATTTTTTTTTTTTTACTCAACAATATATTTAGAACTTTTTTCTGCAATAACACATAAAAATTGACCTCACAGTATTTTTTTACGGCTATATGCTACTCTAAAACACTGTCTCAAACTTTAACATGCACTCAAATCATTCAGGGATCTTGCTAACATGCAGATTCTGATTTGGTAGGTCTGGAGTAAACCCTAAGGTTGTGCATTTCTAAAAAACCTTCCAGATGTTGTTGTTGTTGTTGTTCAACAGCAGCAAAGATGTAGAGTATAGGTGTAGCAGTGGCTGGAGCCAACTTGGACCAGCTCATGAACTGATTGTCAAATTTCCAGGACTTTGGTGAGCCTGTTGTTAACCATAGCAATCATTACACTATTAAATTATATAAACTTACAATTAAATAAATTATATTACAGACAGATCATAAAAACTCAAAACCCATCTCTTTCCCAATTATTTTACTGCATTCTTAAGTCTATATTCTATTTCCACCTGTATGGTGGAAATCTATATAATGGCATGCTTCCACTCACCTCTGCCCAACTCTGTGTTCAGTGACATCATGTTGGCAGCTTATAATCTGCCATGGGGAATATTCACACCACAGAAATTTGGGTATTGAGGCATGCATTACCCCAAACCTTCTCTAACACTCGATATTACCGATCTTTTTCATTTTTGTAATTCTGATAAATCAAAAATGGTATCTCATTTTTAACTTGATTTCCCTGGTTAAAGTGAGATCTGGTGTCTCATATGTTCATGCCTAGGAATTTAACACTATTTTATGCTCTTGGAAACAGAACCTTTTTATTTTTATATTTTTCTTTCCCGGAAAAGGAAAGATGATGCTCAGTTTTCAGCATTAAAAGTGTACAGGTTGCTTTGTTACAATAAATAAATTCATACACAGAAAAGTAAAATAAAATAATAGGTGACGTGATGGTGATTGGAATTCAAAAATATACTTGCTTACCATAAGGTAATTTCCTATCTTTCCCCATTTCACCAGTGTCGTAAATTTTAGACCTGAGAAAATATAATTTAAAAATAAGAATAATGTTGTGTTTTAGTCGTAGAGCATGAAGGGTCCTGAGTCTTCTCTGAGCCCCATGTTGGGTCCCAATCTTGTAAATAGTAAAGAATCCAAACACTGTAAAATATTTTCAAGAGGTTTATTCTGAGCCCAATTTGAGGACCAAGGCCTGATGCCATGGCCAAGAAGCCTTGAGCAAGTGGACTCACTGTGGCACAGTTACAGTTTGGTTTTATACATTTCGGGCAGACAGGAGTTACTCGTAGTTCAACACATGGAAGGCATACATTGGTTGGCCTGAGAAGGTGGGACATCTGAAAGTGGGGACTTACAATTCATGGGTGAGTTTGGGATTCTTTAGTTGACAATTGGCTGAAAGAGTTATGCTTTATCTAAGACGTCAGGAATCAGTGGAAAGGAAATGCTTGAGTTAAGACAAGGAAGTCTGTCAATCAGAGACAAGCTATTGTCCATATATTTGTTGTATAAATTGAGAACTTGTAGGTTTATCTTGCATAGCCTTAGGCCTATTAATGGGTTATGAAGGATGTCTCCAAGAAGGGAGGGGGCACGATGAGGCATGTCTTACCTCCTTTCCCATGGCTAGCAACTCACTTTTAGGGTATCGCTGTGGACAAGAGGGGTCCATTCAGTCAGCTGCTGAGGGGAGCCTTAAGATTTTACTTTAACTCACAACTTCCTTGAGTACCATCAACACTCAAGACCCTTTTCCTCAGCTTCTGAATTCTCCTCTCAGAGAAGCTCCAGCCCTGTGGCTTGGGTCTGTCCCTTTTCCCTCTGAGCTTTCATCTGTGACCTGGTATGTCTTCCCAAAGACAGTTGCCCTCAGCAGTCACTCATGTGGTAAAGTATTCAAGGGTCACTGAAAGTCTAGAAGAGAATTTATATAAGGGGAGGCTACTCCTGGGTTGCAATAGAGGCAACTACTTCTCCCATGTGCTCTGTAAGAGTTAGGAAAAAGTAATGCCTCAGCTTAAATTTGTTACACAAAAAGTATTCTCCATCTAGAGAGCTCGTATTTCTTCAGTACAAAAGTAAGTAGAGTTCATTTTCATCTAAGGAAAATTTATGTATTATGAAAGTATTTTTGACTGGAAGTAATGAAATCTATTACCCAGGAAGTAAATATTTTGGAGAAGAGCTTTTGGGGGGAAAGATAATACTATTACATTAGCAGTTCCTTAATTCAAACCATGAAAAATGTGTATTTTACATAGTGTTTATTAATGCTTACGTAAGATTCTTTCAGTAAAAACTTCTCTCTTATCTGGTGTGTTGAGTTATTTCTTTTTCAAGACCTGACTAGTAATAATTTTGTCCCATAATTCTTTGTATAGAGCCTATCTATGTTATTCTAACACAAATGTTATGGTATACAGTCTCTCAAAATATTGGTAAACCTGTAAGTCAAAAAAATTTCTCTTCACACCTAAAATTTGTAAAGTCATTGGAGAGCATATTACCATTATCTCCACAAAATATTTATTATGCTCAGTGTACTGCTTCACACACTGCTCTGGGCATTTAGTGAGAGAGAATGCCTATAATATAAAAGATTTATAGAGGCCAATCTCACTGGGGTTAGGTGATATCTCATTGTGGTTTTCATTTGCATTTCTCTAATGATTAGAGATGGTGAGCATTTTTTTATATGTTTGCTGGCCATTATTCTGTCTTCTTTTGAAAAGTTTCTGTTCATTTCC